GGCTGCCGGCTGCTGGGGCTGGGGCAGCAGCTGGGCGCAGATCCCCGAGGCCGCGCTGCTCGTTCTCGCCACTATCTGTCTCGCGCACGCGCTCACGGTCCTCTCGGGGCATTGGTCCGTGCACGCGCACTGCGCGCTCACCTGCACCCCGGTAAGTGTGCGCGCCCCAGCCCGACCCCGGCACCGTCGCGCCTCGCCGCGGGTCCCAGCTGCTGCCTTGTCGTCGGTCCACATCCCCACCCGGGCCTTCTTCTGGGCCTGGGTCCCCAACGGCGCCCCCTACACTTTGGCGCAGGCTTAATCCTGACTCCGCTGCTGACTCGCTGTGCGACCCTAGCGCGGGTTCTTTCCTGTCTCTGGAATTCCTCCCTAGTGTGGTCATGTAGATTCGGTAGGATAATACTGGTAAGAGGCTTAGCGCAGGGCTCGGCATGTGCTGTTTGGTAGGACTTGTGAGCGCTATCTCCCATGTTTCCCTGGATACAGCCCTACCTCCCAACTCGTCTGTTTCCTACCTTGGTTTTCAAAGTGTAGGGCTAGACCTGTAGTGTGGGTTCCCTCATTTGTAAAGTCTGGTCTAAAAACCAAGTCCTGTCCAGTGCTCAGCAGTCTTCCCTACGATGACCAACACAAGCATGAGTGCGGCTAATGGCGATTCTTGAGGGAAGCGGGAACAGCTATCTGTGAGCAAGTGATTTGACTGCTGGGAGTCTTATATCCATTTGCGAGACGAGGGTGGTGAAGGTGAAGACTGCTCAGGATGCAACAGCAAGGTAGCGCTTGTAACCCGCAGTCCAGAGTTCTGAAAGAGTGAGCCACATCATAGGAGGAGGTGACTATGAGTGCCTGAGGACGTCAGTGGACAATCATTGACAGCACCACTCCCTCTGGGCCTTAGGTGACACTGTCAGGTTTGGAGCCATGGATGCTAAGGTCTGCCAGCAAACTTTTCCTCTGATCCAGGTGTGTGTTTGCCTCAAAGAGGGAATGGGAGTAGTGTCAAGGGCTGCAGAAAGAATCAGAAACCCCACTCTTTGTCTCCACATGTGGGTTGAATTGTCTTCTGGGAAAGTGAAACTGCTTTCTCCTCCAACGTGACATCCCAGAGGAGAGGCTCAGCTTGGTGCCTTTGAGTTGGTACAGTGCAAGACCCTAATGAGGGACAAAATAAGGGAGGAAAATTTGAAGGAATTGTAACAACTGTCCCCCCACTTCCAGCTGCCTTTTGACTGCAGCTAAACAGCATAGCTGTTAACTTCCTCTCCTGGGATGGAGAACCAGGAGGAGCCAAGCGGCTGTGGGGTTAGGAGAGATGTGCAGATCTCAGAAAGGCTGCCTCTGCCCTCTTGGTTTCACTTTCACCCTTCTGTAAGGTGAGAACCGTAACACCTCTCTCCCTTGGCATTGTGAGAAGCAGCAGAGATGATATCTGCAAAGTACCTGCTGTGGGGCCAGCGCAGTGTATAGTGTCTATACTTCTCTGCCATGGTGTTACCAGGGTTTGTAGTTACATATGTGTCATTATTTGCTTCCTGCTTTGGTGGCCTGTGCCCCCAAAAGGTGACCCTTTGTTTCTCGGGGTCACTGCTGTGCTCCATTCTCCCCATGTGGCACAGGGTCTAGCGGAGCAGCAGCACAGTGAGCCCTGCTTACAGAATTGAGCAAATAATAAACTCCATTCAGTGCCTCGGGTCTTAGGTGCTGGGGAAACAACCATTACAAAACAGGCAAATCCCACTGCCTTTGTGGCATTGCTGAGAGAGAGAACTCACAGTCAGCAGTTGATGCTAAAGAGATAATGGGAATGTGGCCAGGGAACTTTAGATGGGGTAGCCAGGGAAGGGCTCCTGGGAAGGTGGTGTTTCAGCAAAGGCCTAAAGACAGTAAGGGGCTGTCTGTGTGGATGCATTTTCTGGTTGGAGCAAGCAGCACATGCCCAGGCCCTTAGCTGAGGCGCAGACAAGCCTCACACACCAAGAGTAGTGAGCAGGGTTGGGGAGAAGGTTAGCAAACAGGAGGCCAGGGGGCTGTGACAGCCAGGGGGCTGTGACAGGGGCTTGGCTCATGTGCATTGAGTGCGTACTAGGTGCCTGGTAGCGTTCTTCCTTTTTGAGTTTCTGACATCATCAGCAGAGTCCTGGGCAATGGGTGCCGTCTGGGGCCCCAGCTTTAAGGTATAAGATCAGAGGCATAGCAAGGTGGTGTCCCTTGTCCTGGTGACAGACTAGGGAGTGGCCAAGCCAGCACCGGAGCCCAATGGCATGTTCCAGAATATCCCTACAGAGCCGCTGCACCCAAAACCTCCCCAGTGGGGGTCCTGAAACTGAGTTGAAGGGCTCACACCAACGCTTTGCCTCTGGCAGGAGTATGACCCCAGCAAAGCGACCTTCGTGAAGGTGGTACCAACCCCCAACAATGGCTCCACTGAGCTCGTGGCCCTGTACCGTGATGAGGTAGGAACCGCCTGCCAGGCACCTGGAGCAGGGCCTTGGGTGGGATTCCTGGGCACTGGCACCCTCCAGGTCAAACTGCAAACTTGCCTTCTGTCGCAGGGCGAAGATGGACTCGAGGTACTCTCCTTTGAGTTCCAGAAGATCAAGTACTCCTACGATGCCCTCGAGAAGAAGCAGTTCCTCCCTGTGGCCTTTCCCGTGGGAAACACCTTTTCATACTATCAGAGCAGCAGAGGGTTCCAGGAAGACTCGGAGATCCGAGCAGCTGAGAAGAAATTTGGGAGCAACAAGTGAGTCCCTGACTTCCCTGTGGCCCCTTTTTGCTTCTGTCCCACCTTCCTGACTTGGGGGCCTGGAAAGTGGGACTGAGGAATCCACCTCCCAAGGAAGGTGGCGCTGTTTGAGGAACATGCTCTCCTGTAGTCTCCCCTGAATTTGCCACTGGCAGGAACCTTGAGAGCCTGCAGCTGGGAGCCCTTGCCTCACGGCGTGAGACCCGGAGCCTGTGAGCCCTTCTTGGGAGCCCATGCCCATCCATCCTTGTTGTAATGTTATTGCGGCCCCCTCTTTATTCAAAATCCTTTAAGTTTTGGCCTCACTGCTCTGCTCACATTGGTCTCAGCACTCTGAGTCATGGTACAGACGTTGAGTTCTTGAGTGCTTCTTGTGAGCTGGGTAGAATGACCGCTGCCCTGTAGGTGTTCAACAGGATGTGGCTGGAAGGGACAGAGCTGGGCTTCAAACCTTGACGTTTGCATTTGGAGTTCTCGTCACAGCCCTCTGTGACAGTGGCCCTCTGCCTGGAAACCCGCAGAATTCCTAGGGGGTTGTTTCTTTTTTTTTTTTAAGTCTCACTCTGTCACCCAGGCTGGCGTGCTGTGGCACACTCACAGCCACCCCAGTGTCGACCTGCTGGGCTCTGCCGATCCTTCCACCTCAACCTTCCAAATAGTTGGAACTACAGGTGTGTGCCACCAGACCCAGCTAATTTTTTTATTTATTGCAGAAATGAGGTCTTGCCAAGTTGCCTGGGCTGGTCTCAAACCCACGAGCTCAGGCAGTTCATTCGCTCTGGCCTCCCAGAGTGCTGGAATTACAGGCTGAGCCACCAAGCCCAGCCAAGATGAGTTTCTTGACTTAATTGCTTTTCAGAAGATTACAGATATGTTTACCACAACTGTTGACCTAACAAAAGAATGATAAGAGACACCAATCTCCCTGCCCCAAAGTTGGCTACATTAACCCTTTTCACTCGTGAATCACCTACCAGCAACTTGACCACATGTTTTTACGAAATAGCAAAAAACGAATCACTTCATATTAAATGTTGGAACCAGCTATTTTATTGTAATGATATTTGTCTTTATAACAGAATTTATCTTATATTTTTCTAATATGTGATAATCTGTGACACAGTTACGGACATGCATTGCAGGTTCATTGATACATGTTGTGCAATAGTAACTTGTTCCACGTCTTCCACCTGATGTTTTTCTTTTTTTCCTCTTTTATTTTTTTCTTTGAGTCATAGCATTACTCTCGCCCAGGCTGGATTACAATGGCACACAGACTCATCCTGCTGGGCTCAGGTGATCCTTTTGCCTCAGCCTTCCAAGTAGCTGGAACCACAGGCACACATCACCACTCCCGGCTATTTTTTTTTTTTAATTGTAGAAACAAGGTCTCTCTAAGTTGCCCAGCCTGGTCTGGAACCTTGAGTTCAGGCAATCCTCTTGCCTCTGCCTCCCAAAGTGCTGGGATTATAGGCGTGAGCCACCATGCCTGACCAACCTGGTGTTTTTCTATTCAAGCAGATAGTGCAGTCTCATTTTCTTCCTCCAGTGTCAATATTAAGTAATTATTGTCCAGTCTGTTCAAATATGATGTGAAAGGATGCACTCATGATTCCTGAAAACGACTTGTCAATTTATGGGTTATATCCCAATATATATTTCATCTCTTTATTTGTTTTTTTTGTGCAATTTGAATAGAAAACTTCAAGGAAACATACATTTTTGAAAAATTTGTGCTTGCGTATATAATTTGTCCTATGTAATCACCAGCAATCAATGCATCTGTACCATAAAAAAATTTGTCCTATGTAATCACCAGCAATCGCTGTCCCCTTAGAGGGGACATCCAAGTGCAAAGGGTTAACGATCTGGGGTGACGATGTTCCCTTTCACGCTATTCTTCTTGCTCAGGCAAAGGTGCCCAACAAGGGATGGGGTGGGATGGGGGCTCTGTTTTCATCATTTGTTTTTATCAAAGTGGGATCATTCTTCAGTTTCTTCTTACATCCTGTGCCCGGGGTGTCTGTCCAGTTAGGATGGAGCGAGGATGACCCTAGTTGACATGGCTGGTCCCCTGATGAGAGTAGGCCACCACACACGGTGCTGGAGAACACATACTTGGGGCTGGCTCCTTGTGATCTGGAGCTTTTATTCAGGATTTTTTTTTTTTTTTTAGAAAATCCCAGCTTGCGTGGGGGTGGGACTCAGTATCCATTGCTAGGGCTTCCTCAGGGCAACTTCAGGGCTCCCGTCCCTCAGTCAGTTGTTCCTTCTCTGGTTGCTGTATCACCTGGCCAGATGACAAGGGGTTCTTCTCTCACACCAGCCCCACTGGAAGAGCTTGTTGCAGATTCTAGCTTCTGCAGAGCAGAGGGCTATGGGCACACAGCGTGTCTGACCCAGGCGCAGTTGGGATGAGAAGGAGCCAAGTCAAGTGGAGCCTCCCGTCTGGAAGCTTACCAGGGCCACCAGGACCCACATGTGGCTCCTCACTCCTTGGGGAGGCCTGCCGTGCCCCGAATAGAAGTGTTAAGGCAATGCCTACACACCTCAGAGGCCTCGACCTGGGAACAGGATGTGGGCTCTGGTCTTTTGCAGGGCCGAGATGGTGGTGCCTGACTTCTCGGAGCTTTTCAAGGAGAGAGCCACTGCCCCCTTCTTTGTGTTTCAGGTAAAGCAGTGGCTGCAGTTCTCCCCGGTTCTTTCCCTGGGGCTTTCCCTGCCAGCGCTAACCGGCTTGCCACCTCCAAACCCTGAACCCTCTCCTCACGGGCCAGAGCCCCAGGTGGAAGGGGCTCCCAGGGATAGACAGGCTGGTGTCCCACAGGTGTTCTGCGTGGGACTCTGGTGCCTGGATGAGTACTGGTACTACAGTGTCTTCACGCTGTCCATGCTGGTGGCATTTGAGGCCTCCCTGGTGCAGCAGCAGATGCGGAACATGTCGGAGATCCGGAAGATGGGCAACAAGCCCCACATGATCCAGGTGCAGCCAGCGGGGAGGGCTGGGGTGGTTATGGTACAGATGTGTCTTCTGTGCTGACACCCCACCCCCCTAGGTCTACCGAAGCCGCAAGTGGAGGCCCATCGCCAGTGACGAGGTTGTCCCCGGGGACATTGTCTCCATTGGTGAGGCCCAGTTCCCCTCTGTCCCCGCGGGAGCCCCAGCCTTAGAGTCCCTGGCCAACCCTCCTGCCCTGCCCCACAGGCCGCTCCCCACAGGAAAACCTGGTGCCATGTGATGTGCTGCTGCTGCGTGGCCGCTGCATCGTGGACGAGGCCATGCTCACAGGGGAGTCAGTGCCGCAGATGAAGGTACTTATAGGCACCAGGGGAGTTCTCCTGCTACTCAGGGAGAAACAGGAGAAGGAGAGCCAGTGACTAAGCCAGGATCCTGCCTAGGTGCAGATGGTGGGGCAGGGTGGGCCCACGTCAGCACCGTGGACAGGAGTGGCTGGCGGTGGAGGGGAAGAAGGAGATGGGAGAAACCAAGGGCCTCGGGTACATTTGGGTGCCCCAGGAGGTCAGACCGAGTAGGCTGGAAAGAACCAGGAGGGGTGAGTCCTGGAAGAAGCCAAGTGGGAGGTCAAGGGCTTGGACACTGCAAGTGTAGACAGAGAAGACAGAACTGGGCCCACTATCCCTGAGGAGCTGGGTAGAGTGCACTTTGTTGAGTACGGAGCCCCGTGAGAGTTATGCTAGCCTAGCCCGGCCCAGGGTCCAGCTTCCAGGCACTCAGATGGAGAAGGAAATGGGCAGGGCCCAGCCATCAGCTCTGCTGTCTTCCTCCCCAGGAGCCAATTGAAGACCTCAGCCCAGACCGGGTGCTGGACCTTCAGGCCGACTCTCGGCTCCACGTTATCTTTGGGGGCACCAAGGTGGTGCAGCACATCCCACCTCAAAAAGCTACCACGGGCCTGAAGCGTAGGTGCCTCCTGGGCATCTGGGGGTGTCCTGGCTCCCACCCCTGCCCCCACATCTGCTTAATCATGAGGGAATCGGGGCCAGGAGACCAGAATGATGGTGGCTGTGCTTGTCTCCCCAGCAGTTGACAGTGGGTGCGTGGCCTATGTCCTACGGACCGGATTCAACACGTCTCAGGTGTGGGGCCTTGCCTGGGTCTGGGGAGGGTGGGCCCTAGGACAGATGATGGACAGTTGAGGCATCGGCCCTCTCAGACCACAGAACATCCACCCCCTAGGCTCATCCTGGCCAGACATGCCTGGGTCTGGGCCAGCCCGAGACCAGGCCTGCTCTCCCAGCCTGAGGTCCTGGTGGGAGCCCAGACAGCAGAAAGGCTGTCCCTCCATCCCTCCAGGGCAAGCTGCTGCGCACAATCCTCTTTGGGGTCAAGAGGGTGACTGCAAACAACCTGGAGACCTTCATCTTCATCCTCTTCCTCCTGGTGTTTGCCATTGCGGCAGCCGCCTACGTGTGGATCGAAGGTGAGTACCACAGCCCAACTGGCCCCTGTGGTTCTGGCCCCAAGACCCAGGCTGGCAGGCCCTGTCTTTGCAGGCACCAAGGACCCCAGCCGGAACCGCTACAGATTGTTTCTGGAGTGCACCTTGATCCTCACCTCCGTCGTCCCCCCCGAGCTACCCATTGAGCTGTCCCTGGCTGTCAACACCTCCCTCATCGCCCTGGCCAAGCTCTGTGAGTGTGTCGGGCAGGACAGGGTCCTGAGCAGGCCGGGGCCTGGCGGAACCCCTGACTCCAGCTCCCAACCCCAGACATGTACTGCACGGAGCCCTTCCGGATCCCCTTTGCTGGCAAGGTGGAGGTGTGCTGCTTTGACAAGACGGGGACTTTGACTAGTGACAGCCTGGTGGTGCGTGGTGTGGCTGGACTGAGGTAAGGTGTCAGGAGCCCTGGGCCAGGGATCTCCCTGCAGAGGGGTTTCTGGGAGGGTAAGGAACAGATGGCCCTTCCAGCCCGAGCCTCTGCAGTGAGAGCCTGCTGGAGGCCCTGCCTCAGAGATCTTTTCCTGGGACTCCTCATGCAGTGCTCGGTGTGAGAGACAACAGCCGCATGGGGGCTCACCTCGGGCCCAGAGCAGCTGGCAGCCTCCATCACTACCAGTTGTGTGCCCCTCGTGCACAGTGCCTACTTCTGGGGGCACCCACGAGGCAGGTATGGGTCTCATGAGGACCCAGGCGACACCCAAGGCCCCTCAGTGACTGGCGCAGAGTAAGTGCTCCGTGGGGGCCCATCCCACATCACCCCTGCTGAGGATTGCTGGGGGTCCTTCCACTGGCGGTGGTGCAGTTTGCCCTGCCTGCCTTTGCCCTGTAACCAGCTGTTCACATCCTTGCAGAGATGGCAAGGAGGTGACTCCTGTGTCCAGCATCCCTGTGGAAACACACCGGGCCCTGGCCTCGTGCCACTCCCTCATGCAGCTGGATGACGGCACCCTTGTGGGTGACCCCCTCGAGAAGGCCATGTTGACGGCCGTGGACTGGACGCTGACCAAAGGTAAGGGACTGGAGCCTCAGGCCCAGGAGGGGAGCCACCAGCTCGCACAGCCCCAGGCAGGTGGGCTATGCTCCTCAGACACCGGGAGGCTGGCAGACCCACAGCTCTGATGTCTCAGACCTGAAGACGTCACCTCTTTGGTTGTTCCTCTGGGCGGGCCCCTGCAGCTCTGACCCCTAGCAGACCCGGGGGAGGCGGGATGGAGGGGGAGGGGAGGCCTCATCTCAGTTAAAATTTATGCCCCAAAGCTCCCCAGTGAGATCAACAAAAGCTAAACTCAAAATGAGATCACATCTTGCCCAGCTTCTTTTCCTTCTTTGCTTTTCTTGCTCTTTCTCCTGAGAGCACATCCCAGCATGCACCCAAATTCCTATCTTAGTCTCTTTTTCCAGGGAGTCACATCTAGGACACCTTTCTAAATCTTCCTGGGCACTAAGATAGGACCTGCTGGTTGGGCACAATTTAAATTATCTGTGGAAATGGTTCTTTCTTCTCTCTCCATTACCAAAATATAAGACATATGACAGAGGACCACCAAAATGGAAATTTATTTATTAAAATTGTGCAT